AATAAAAAAAAAATCTTTAAAAATTTCCGACGAAATTTAATTTTTATTTAAAAAAAATTAAATTATATCGGAAATCCATCGGAAATTTTAAACCTTATATATATATATATATATATATATATATATCTTGTTAGGAAAAAAAAATTTCTTTAAAAATTTCCGACGGAATTTAATTTTTATTTAAAAAAAATAAATTCTGTCGGACATTTTAAACCGTTATATATATCTTGTTTGGAAAAAAATTAAAAAAAATTCTTTTAAAATTTCCGATGGTTTTCCGACGGAATTTAATTTTTATTTAAAAAAATTAAATTCCGTCGATATATTTGTTAGAAAAAAAATAAAAAACATTTTTTCTTTTGAAATTTTCGACGGAATTTAATTTTTTTTAAATAAAAATTAAATTCCTTCGGAAATGTTAAAAAAATGTTTTAATTTTAATTTTTTCCAAGTTTAAGTTATTACAAACTTTTTTATTAAATATTACCAACGGAATAGTCGTATGTTCAGTTACATTTAATAGATCTATTGGCTTTATTCGGTTCAATTTGACTTTTATATGTATTATTGGGTTTTATTGGATTTGGTGGTATTTAATGGATCTTAGTGCATTTTTTTCGGTTCAAATAGGCTTTAATAGAGCTATTAGGTTTTCTTCGGTTCAATTTGACATTAACGGGTACTAATTGGGCCTTATATGGTTCAAACTGGGTTTTAATGAATCCATTGGGTTTTAATAGATCTATTGAGTCTGATTTCGTTCAATTGGGCTTTAACGGGTACTATTAAGCTTTATTCGGTTCAATTGGGCTTTAATGGATCTTAGTGGACTTTAACATGTACTATTTGGTTCAACTAGACTTTAATGGAGCTAATAGGTCTTATTTGGTTCAATTGGGCATTAACGGATATTATTGGGCTTTAACGGGTATTATTGGGTTTTATTCGGTTCAACTGGGTTTTAAAGGGTATTACTAGTCTTTAATAGATCTACTAGGCTTTAATGGAGCTATTGGGTCTTATTCAGTTAAATTGGGTATTAACGGGTTCAATTAGGATTTAACGGGTACTACTAGGCTTTATTCATTTCAATTGCGCATTAACGGGTACTATTGGGCTCTATTTGGTTCAATTGAGCTTTAACGAGTATTATTGTGTTTTATTCGGTTCAATTGGACTTTAAAGGGTACTACTAGGCTTTAATAGATTGTAGTGTACTTTAATGGATTATTGGACTTTAACGGATACTATTTGGTCTTTAATGGATCTATTGGGTTTTCATTCATCTTAGTGCACTTAAATAAAGCTATTGGGCCTTATTCGAGTGGATCGCCTAATGTAGATAGTGAGGTGTATACATTTTTATCCTTTGATGTTTATTTATTTCATTTATACTTCTTATTAGAAATTTTAACGTTTTATTGTATTTGTATTTAATTAACAACTTACAGTCCCAAATTCAAGAAATGCGCACTCGAGATGAGATCCAACAAAAGGATGTTGAGGAACTTTTTCGTCGAGAAGAGATTCGAAACAGGGAAGATGAGATCCGGAAGAAAGAGCATGCAGACATGATGGATATGATGAAGAGGTTTACACAATCTCAACAGTTTCCGCAGACCCCGCCGCAATAGATTTGATATAGTGTATATATGAACTAGCGTCATCAATCGAATTTATATATGTATATTATTTCGTCCGGATAATCATATTAGGTATTTATGACATATTTGTGTATTGTATATTTGTATTTAATGACAAGATTTTTATAGTTTAGGATTTTATATTTTGGTTTTTTGGTTTTTTTGGTTTTCTTCCTGTACCAGCTAAATTTCCGACGGATTTCTGGCGAAAAATCCGTAGGTAAATAATTAGATATAAGTTTTATTTAAAAAATTTCTGGCGGATTTTCCGAGTAATGGACAACATATTATAAAATTGCATGACGGATTTCCGACGGATTTTTTCGTCGGAAAATACAAATCCATCGGAAAATGCATTTAGCGGCGGGAGTTTTTCCGACGGCAAAATTTTCCGACGGATTTCCGACGGATTTTGCTGTCGGAAAAACTAGATTTTTTAGTAGTGAAATCGTCCCGTATTTGCCGACGAAATCAAATGACGATATGTCTCCTAGGATACAACAATGTATACATACCTTCGTCAATCGCGGCACCGATATGTGAAGTTCTTCGAACTCGATTATGTGCCACTCTCCTTTCACAATAGGACAGCAACCAAAAACAGAATGCAACAATACAGAGAAGAGAATGACAAGTACAAAAATTGGTGGGAAAAAACACACCTAATTAAGAAGGAAAATATAATATAAATAGATGCCGAAACAATTAAGAAAGTAACCGACACAAAAACTGTCAAACAAAAGAAAAATGTCAGCCAACCAAAACTAAAATAATTCCATTTAAACTAAAATATCGAACACCAAGCGCCACTTAGGCTACGTTTGTAAATTGATATTGAGGGAAAATCAATTAAACGTTTTCATACATGAGGGGCTATTTCTGTAAATTGTTATTAGTGAGGGACAATTAAACGTTTTCATATATATGAGGGGCTATTTCTGTAAATTGTTATTAGTGAGGGACAATTAAACGTTTTCATACATGAGGGGCTATTTCTGTAAAATAATATTGTCGACGACTACTTCGCGGGCGCCTGCGGCCGTTTCAGAGTCTACGTTGACGTCGATATCTTCACATAACAAACAAACCATGTCCAAGATGAGATCTTTTACAGAGAGAAAGTGATTCAGTTATTACGTATATATATACACAGAGAGAGAGAGAGAGAGAAGAAAGAGGAAATCAGAGATTGCAGCAGGTGATGGGGAACGCATCGTGTTTTTTGGTGGGTTGCATAGACCAAGCAAGCGTAGGGGTTGTTGAGAAATGGGGTCGGTTCGAGAAATTGGCTGAGCCAGGTCTCAATTTCTTCAATCCTTGCGCCGGTCAGTATCTCGCCGGTGTTCTATCCACCAGGATCAACTCTCTCGACGTCAAAATCGAGACCAAAACCAAGGTTCTGTTTCCCGTTCATTGTAACTTGTATGATCTGTCAAATTTCTTTCTCATGTGATTATGATGCCTATTGATTGTTGAATTTCTGCTATATGTTTAAACCCTTGGTAATCACAGGATCTGCGATTCATATATCATGTAACTGTCATACGAATTGTTCGGTTGTATATTGTGATTTGATTGATAAGAAGCTAGGGTTCGTGTTTATCCACGTGTGAAATGGACCAAATAGCAGTAAGCTAGGGCCTTTGATTTAGTTAAACTCTATCAGGATCCTCATGTTTATTCTCATGTTTCTGCAGGACAACGTATTTGTTCAAATAGTTTCTTCAATTCAGTACCGAGTAATAAAGCAAAATGCTGATGATGCATACTATGAGTTACAGAACCCTGAGGAACAAATTCAAGCCTATGTTTTCGATGGTGATTTTTTTGACATTACTTCTATCACATAACTCTTTGATTTCTGTTTCTACGTCATAAACCGGTAGTTTTCTTTCAGTTGTACGAGCTCAGGTTCCAAGAATGACTTTAGATCAGCTCTTTGAGCAGAAGGATGAAGTTGCAAAATCTGTATTGGAGGAACTTGAAAAGGTGAGTTGATCTCTTGTGTCTTGTTTATATGAAAGCTCATCATATGATATGACATAAGGCTGATTAGATTACATGTTCATGGTCAAAAACCATATTGAAGTGCAGTGTTGCACTAATAATTCAAGGTTACCCTATTCTAAGTTTGAATGATCTTTTGGCTGTGCTGTATCAGGTGATGCGAGAATATGGCTACAGCATAGAACACATACTGATGGTGGACATAATACCTGATCCCTCAGTTCGTAGAGCAATGAATGAGATAAATGCAGGTATGCCGTTTAACATGGTGCTTGCTTTTACTATGTACTATCATATTATATCTCGACTTATTGACTGTATACTTTAGAGCAGTTAATATTGCATGTTAGGATATTAGTTGTTAAGTAGTAAATCACGAGGGAAACAACGCCTCTATCCTTTGGGGTAGAGGAAAGGTTTGCGCACACATTACTACTCCAGTTCACTTGGTTCGTTTTGGTTTAATTTACTCTTGGCTGCAGAGGATCTTAATGTTTGACCTGCCTAATTTATGCATCTGACTTCTGCATGTTAGTTACTGTAACACCCCACATCAACATGTATTACTCCATTTAGGTCCCATAGTACAAGAAATTAATGTACAAAATACACAATCCAAAAATTCCAAAATACAAATTCTTGTACTACATAACATATATCTTCAAAACTATATTCATCCATAAACTGATCTTTCATATAATTATGCACATTGGAAAATAATTACATTTTCCCCTTCCACTTACTATCAAGTGACTCAGCTGTTCTTGCAATATTATTTGAAAGACAAACTGAGGGTTAGACCTGGACGTCTAGTGAGATCCCTTTTTCCTTGTAATTGCAGGGTGAAGATCACCAAATCTTTATTTAAAATCAACTTTTCATATAAACAGAAATATAATCTCATAGTTTACAACGACTGGCACCCTTCTGGCTCTAAAGACCAGATTTGACTTGAGCAAAGTTCATTATTAAACATTAGGGCCAGAGCCCCTCTGGTTCCATTTTGTGCCCCGGCCCTTGATCAGATAAAGCTGCCCGCCCTATGACCCACTTTTCCATTGACCAGAGCCCCTCTGGTTCCATTGACCAGAGCTCTTCTCTCAAACTCAAGTTTACACTTGTATATAAAAGGATGTTTCTCTAGTTTAACGACCAGAACAAAGTCATGCTCATAGAAAGGATGCAATTTTCCAAGTATAAAGAAAAGTATAATTTGAAATCCTCTACATGACCAGAGCCTCTGGTCCTACTAACCTGAACCTCTGGTTCAAATGCAAAGACAAACCAGAGTTCCTCTCGCTCGTCTTGCTTTGCCAAAGAAATTCCATGTAAATAGTTTCTAAGTTTGAATAAGAGAAAGAAGTTTTATAAACAATTTCAAATGCAACTTTTATGACATAGAGCCTCTATATAATACATGGGTCTAGATAAAGGTTTGAAATTAAAGACTTTTATCATAGTCAGAGATCTTTTGATTTTCCCTAAAGACCAACCCAAAATTCCTCTTTAACAGATCACAGAACAACCAGAGCTCCTATGGTTCCATTGACCAGAGCTCCTCGGGTTCCATTCAAGGAATAACCAAAGCCTCTATGGTTCCACATAACTCTTTTCCAAACACTTTTAATCAAAAGCACGGTTATCCAAAACCTCTAGCCATAAGCCAATTTTCCCCTTCTTAATAACATCATTACCATCATTTCCAATAAGAGCAATATTCCTGAATCTTCAAATAAAAAAGAAATAAGGACTCAGAACCATTGCAATCTTAAGGGGATATAATAGTAAGAGCTATAATAATAATACACACAAATGCCACCCTTATATCCGAAGGTACACATCTCCTTGATATGTCACCCTTATATCCGAAGGTACACCTCTCCTTGATATGCCACCCTTATCTCTTGGTACACCTCTCCTTGATATGCCACCCTTATTTCTTCATCAAAATCTACAGATTATTTCCAATCAGAACAAGCCGAAGTCACAACCGTCCTGAAGGAACATCATCTATAGTTTTAACCAATAATGGTTTCAAAACAGTTTTATATCAGAACTTTGAAACTCAAGAACCAATAGTTTTTTAATCCACTTTCCGAACTCAAAACCCTTTATTCCTTAAAATAGAATATTATTTCAAGTTCTCAACTATTTTGAAAGAAGCATATACTTCTTTATATTACAAAAACAGTTTCAAAACCCAGATTCATAAAGCTCAAATCAATTGCTAAAACAGTTTCCTTTCTTCAACAAAATCATCTACCGAAATCCATATACTTCAAATATCAACATATAAGAATTTTGAATAACAAAACTCACCTTGTATGCACAGATTTGCAGATAAATCAAACAACAATTTCTTCTAATACCCACAGATTCTTCAAATCACTTTTATGCAGGTTTCTCTCTCTAGAACACACTTTCACCGCACATTCTCTTCTTTTTTTCAAGAAGGTAAGTGAGATAGAATTAATCTTATCCCCTTATATATTTTATATAAACCAAGGCGGTGCAAAAGGTTTTATATTATAAAATTCTCAAAGGCGGTGGAGGAATAAATATATTAAACCTCTCTTAAGAATATGCACACACTTTATAATAATATTTGCATAATCTTTAATTTATGCACATACCTCTAATGCCACAAATCATGTATACCAATCATGCATACATACGGCATTTATCAATACCTCATACATTCACATAAGCATATTTTCACATAATCAAATAATAATCATATAAGATTTACCCCAAGTGTTGCTGCCATAAAATTTGGTCATCACAGTTACCGACTAGTTATATGAATGTATTTATACAATGTATAAGACTGCAAACATTGCATGGTATTACGTGTAGTCGTGTACAATTAAATCCAAGTAAAATATTTGTGGTTATTTAATGTAACAATTTAACCAATAAACGAGTCATGCTCACGTCATTAGGGTAGCCAATGTTACAATTTGTTGTATTTTTATCATATATGTAAGTAAATACGAAGCTATTGTTTGTATTGTAAGACAAAGCAATGTTGTTATTAATATGTATGAATTTAACAATTTAAATCTTTAAATTTGGGTCTTTTTTGCTTTTCGAATAACAACATTACTCGATTATAGTAAATGTTATTCAAATTATGAAATATTCTAAGTTTATTACCAGATGATGACACTGAATGTTAACAATCGTCTAATTTAAGAGCAACCCACTTTATGTGCCATTTGTGTTTCACATATGAACGAGTGGTTCACCACTTTTCTGGCAATCTGTCTCTTTTCACACACACTTTTTGCAAGCTGGGGGGGGGGGGGGGGGGGGGGGGGGGTCTTCAGGGAAATAGTTGCTTACTCTTTGTGGGTAGAGGACATTTCTGTGTATATCCCCTGTGTATTTGTACGTAGGACAGGACAAAAACTTGTTGTCCCATGTTTAATGCAACATTAAGGTTTGTGGGACAGGATATGGCTTGCATTAAGTCCCACCAAAATAGGTGGAACAAAAATGACGAGATAAGATTGACAAATTACTAAACCATCCATGTCAAATTAAAAGCCAAATCTTGTACAATTTCTCCTTGTCTTCACCCGCCTACCTCGTCTGGGTACCTAAAGCATCCTAGAGGAGATACCCCACCTCTGGATGGGATCTATTGGGTTCATCTGGTGTGGGTATATGAATCTAGTGGTAAGTAACTGCAGTTTAAGGAGGATATTATTTTGTGTGTGTTAACAGCACAAAGGCTTCAGCTTGCTAGTGTGTACAAGGGAGAAGCTGATAAGATCCTTCAAGTTAAGAAAGCAGAAGCGGAGGCTGAAGCCAAGTACTTGGGAGGAGTTGGTGTTGCAAGGCAGAGGCAGGCAATTACAGATGGGTTGAGAGAGAACATCTTAAACTTCTCCCATAAAGTGGAAGGTGCAACAGCAAAAGACGTGATGGATCTGATCTTGATCACACAGTACTTCGACACCATTAAAGACCTTGGAAACTCATCGAAGAATACAACCGTGTTCATACCCCATGGGCCTGGCCATATTAGAGACATCGGCGATCAGATTCGAAATGGTATGATGGAGGGGAAAGCAGGCACCTCTTTCAATGTTGATGACAACTGAGTATTATCGATTGGACCTTCTTCCTCTTGTCATAAATTTCAAATAAAGAACACTAGTTCTAATGTTGCCTTCATTTCCAAATGTTTCAGTTGTTGGTTGATATACGTGATAGAAAAGGCTGTAGGTATATGGAACTTGGAATTTTGCTGTTACTAGTGTGGTAAATATATGCATACTTTTTACTTGTTTGCGCTCCTCAATGATCCATGTCTGTGTATCCATGACACCACAAGGGTAGTATCTGATTGGTTTGAGTTTGGCTCCAAAGGTCAAAAGTGCCTGGAGGTCACAGGTTCAAATCCAAGAAGGAACAAAAGAAGGAACAAAAATCTCCTTGTGGCCACAGAGATTCAAATGCGGCGACTCCGGGCTACTTACAAAGTAGGTGGTCACCCTAGGATTAGTCGCTCGCATAACGAGTTGGATATCCAGGTTAATAAAAAAAACTTGTAATCATTTGCAGCTTCTCTAGTATGTTGAAAAAAGGAAATTTATCTGAATCTTGATGTCCAAAAATTGTTGAAAAAGGAAGTTATTTTTTGGTAATCCAGTACTGTTCAAAATATTTATTTCGATGCATGGGTGAAAGTGAAATAGACATTAGGGTTTTAATTTGACATGAGTAATTTAGTAGTTTAAAAATCTATTCATCACTCCAATTTTTGTTTTGTTGTCTGAGTCTAATGTCACACCAAACGTGGGACATGATGTCATGTCCCAAATCCATCATCAATACTGAGTTTACCTTTGGAAGTGAGCTAATAATCTATTAACATCTACATAATAGCTTTAACAAGATTTTGAATGTGATCATTTTACCTTACATTTGACAGTAATTTCTGTTTCCAGAACATGCAATGTATATTATTATACCAACAAAAAGAATGACGCCTCCTCATGGAACAATCAAAAACATCGGAGATGTCTTCATCTGGCCGCTCAGTAGTTAGTAGTATGCCCGCTGCTGACTACTACTACCGTAACCTCCGCTGTAACTTGTGCCACCACCCTGCACCATCATAACCACTTGCTTATTGTTGCTACCAACTTTTATTAGGATTTAAACACACTCATTATTCAAGTGTATAGACAAACATTGCTATTATCCTATTGCATCTTTTTATAAGAACAAAACACAACAATCTTGTTTCTTCTCTATGTGATAAGATTAGACTTCAAATAGAAAGATAAATAAAGCCACAAAAAACCTTGGAATAGAAGCTTTCAGGTTCCATTCGTTTATACCACTATTCTCCCTCATTTTCACTTCTCCGAACAAAAACCTTCAATCACAATTTCATTTATTTTTACAATTTCACCGATATGGCGAAAGCAAATTTTTGTCTTGATGGCCAGTGTCATCTTTGTTCGACAATTAATTATTTCAAGTTTTTTGTGCAATATACTACTTACATATTCAGTGCTAATAAGCGTCTCTGAGTGAGTGGTGTGTGTATGAATGTGTGTGTGTGAGAGAGAGAGAGAGAGAGAGAGAGAGAGAGACCTGGTAGTAGCTTGTGTGATTTCCAAGTTGAGAAGCTGGAAGAGATGGACCTAAAAGTTGAATAAAGCATTTTACTAATACATTAACATGCTCTCAAAACAATTTTAATTAAAATACTACTAAGATTACTGTAATCCCTTCTATTTTTTCATATCATTTGTTTCTCTTGGATTATTTCAATAATGTGAACTCATCGTCGACATTGATTAAAAGTTCAATTTACAAAAAGAAAAAATATCATCACTGGATGACCACATTATTGAAGTGAACATCTTAACAGGATTATCATTTAAAGAAGCTGGAGACAATAGACCATCTACTGGTCAAACCTCTTCATACTCTCCTCCAAATGTCATTTTCCGCTTCCTTCCATCCAAACACATATAGAGCAAGTAAAGAATTACCTCCAACATAAGCAACGCCGGTACATCTACCATCATGTCGAACAGCTCTATACAAGTCGCAAAATATGTTGATCAAAAATAGAGTAAGGTAAAGCTAAGACTTTGATTGCAAATGGAAGTATCAATGTGAACCTTGCAAACCGAGAGTCATAAGGATCATGAGCAATCTGTACAATTGCAGATGGACGATAACCTCTGTAAGGTTGAACCTCAGGTCCAACAGCAGTCTCGATGTAACCCTTATGATGAGATTGGGTCGTAGCCAGACGATCTAAATATCTTGAATGAAGTTGACTCTGACTTCCAGCAGCAGGTTCGAGGTACACAGTCTGATGTTGGCGAAGGGTTTGAGCTACAGGCTGAACATATCTTGAATACGATAGATTTTGCTTAGCAGAAGCAGGTTCGATGTATCCAGCATGTGGTTCCTAGAATAATCCTCAATTATCAAACAATGAAGAAGATGATGATATTTAAAAATTAAATAAATAAAAAACCACCCATCGTACCATCTCCATGTGGAATCTTGTAGACATTGAATCGAGACCTAGATGATAAGCATGAGATGCAGCATGTTTTGGTGTGTATGGATCGATATATCTGGGGGAGTTTCTGTAGTCATCACGCCCTTTTCTAAGATGAGTGTCACTTGTTGGGTTCCTGGAATTATCTCTTTCCCTTCCATGCATATTTCCTAAATATTCAATGTAAATGGATCAAATATCGACCCCGGAACAAGAGAGAGGGAGAGAACATAAAAGGTACAAATACCTTTCTGTTTCTTGAAGGGTTTTTTGTTATGAGTGTTTCTGTTACCTCCATCTTCATGGCCTTCATAATTCGAGAACTTCTTTCTTTTGTGACTTCCTGCTTTGGAGGCAATTTTACTATTTTGACCATCATTGCCAACCTTTAGTTTTTTCGGAGTGCCCTTGTCACCACCATGTCTCAAGCCAGGAGGAGCCTTCAAGTTCTGCTCAGAGGATGCTTTTCTTTTTCTTTTAGCCTGTTGAGAGTTTAAATCGCCTTTCATCTTCAACAATTCAGCTTCTTTAGAACTTTCACCGTCTTTTTTCAATGGGGACAGTTTACTTTGCTTCTCAACATTGATTTTGCCACCAGAATTCTGCTTTCTGGGTAATTCTTTTTGTTGAGAATTTGCAATGCTGGCTTTAATCTGAGTAAAAGAACGCTTCTCAGAGAAATATTACATTATTAATGGGGAGAGAAAAGAGGTAGACATAAAAACACCTCGTCTCAACTAAGCATTTACCTTAAGTTTGGAGGAATCTTTTCTATTTCTTTTAGCTTGCCTGGAGTTCAAAACACCTTTCGTCTTTGATGATTTAATTTCTGAAGTTCCTTTAGAAATTCCATCCTCATTAATCAATACAGATGCTTGAATTTGCTTCTCAACTTTGAATCCCCCACGACAAACCAGCTTCTGAAGTTGACTATTATGTGGAGGCTTGGCGATGCTCGCTTTAATCTGAGACGAGAAATAATAATCAGAGTGATGTTTCATCGAGATAACTACCAGATATATATACATATACATATATATACAAGAAGTATACCCATGCAATACAGCTCAATACATCTCTATTTTGTCTCTCCCATTTTATTTTTTGAACCTGTGTGGTTTTCGGAGCCTGCCAGAGCCTTTGGTTGGTTATCAGTTTAATGGAGTATTTTGCCTTATTAGTAGTGCTCAACGCTTATCTCGTATTTAAACATGTTTATTAGTTGGTTATGAGTTAGTTTTATAAAGTTCAAATGTAATAGTAAGTTGTATTATGTAATAAAATAAGTTGTAAACATTGTATACTGTAATAAAAATATTGCATGTGAATGTACTCATGATTGAATATTTTTAAAGCTGGGGTATCAAATGAAAGAGAATAAAGTAGCCCTTTTTTGATAGGATTTGTTTAATCAAACAATTAATTATATTTAAGATAATATATATATTTTTTAAATTGAGATAAATCATTAGGTTTCTAACACTTGATCGGTTCACATAGAAAGGGTAATATGATTTTGTACGCATTATTGATTTTTAAATAAAGTTTACACTTGTATTCTTGAAAAACTAAGAGTTTCTAAGAGGAAAAACCTAAATGCTTTATAACACACTATAGATTTTTAAATTGAGATAAATCTATGGGTTTCCAAAATTTGATCCGTTATTATGGAAAGGGTAATATGAGTTCCAAAACCCCTTCAAGCTTCCATTCTTATTGTTTACAGAAATAGGTAAAATAGGAATATTATAAAAATTGAAAGATTTTGTATGCATTATTGATTTACACATAAAGTCATATAACTTGTATTCTTGAAAAAATTAAGAGTTCTTTTAAGAGATAAAATCTAAATGCTTTATAATATAGTATATATAGAGAGAGTTGGGTTAAAATGAGAAACCACAAATATGTAGAGAACCGGAAAACCAACCATTCCTTATCAATAACTTTGAATAATGAAAATTATTCATGATGAAAATACATGATATTAATGATAAAAATGCATTAAATTATAAATAATGAAAATGCATGATATTCGTTATTATTCAATGTTATTCATCCCAAATAGTTGATTCCCCGAGTTCTCAACATATATATATATATATATATATATATAGTGAGAGAGAGAGAGAGAGTGTGTGTGTGTGTTCGGTCTTTTATAATTTCACGGGGTGGGGTGAGGGTGGAACATACATACCTTGAGTTCACTAACACCAACTTTATTGATCCCCTCCACACAAGCTAGAGCACTTTCATGAGATGTAAAAGTGACAAACCCAAAATCTTTTTTAATCCGTGTGCCGAGGCATAACTTAACTCTATCAATCTCACCGTACTTTTCACAAATCTCCTTCAGCTTCTTTTCATTCCAAGCTTTAGTGAGTCCTTCCACATATACCTGTTTGACCTGGAACAGGACAAGACAGTCATTAATCATTTGAGGTTGGAAACACTCAAACAAGTAATTTTAAGCAGTATTAGCGGTTGGTATTGCACTAGAGTTGGAAAATACATATCTGAACATCTCAAACTATTAAATGCCAAAGATGGCACGGCATTCCACGTAACTTAGTCATAAAGACAAGAACCTATTGACCCATCCAATCTTTTATCTTTCATATTGTCATATGTATCAATAGGGTAATGTTATATCAAAAGAAGGCTTCACAAAAGCTCAGTGGCACCGCTACACACACTTGTGCAACTCGGGTACATTCTGCTCATGATGTCTCTAGATGCCATCTGGCTGATCAAAATCTACAACTGACCTAAAAAATTTGTGAATTGACCAAAACTAGAAACTTAAGTTCTCCATGTAACTGTCTTTTTTATGAAATGAAGTGATACCGAGGGCATCCAATTTGAATCAGATCATGTTCAAATACAATATGAGAGGACTTATAGACGTTGTTACCCCCAAAGTAAGAGCACATTTGGTGTCTGGTGATAGACAAAAAGTTGAGATGCCTTGCACTAGTAATTATTTTCCATCAATGTGCCAAGATCAATAGGTGAGCCAACACAATATCCAGTTAAGCCCATGAACAGCGATGCTGACGGCAATTCAAGATAGACAAACATAAAGGAAAGAGGGTGCTGTCCTTTCAAGATATGCAAACAAAGAGGAAAGAGGATGCAGACAGCACCACAAAAACTAAAGTGGTATGTGACAAACAATCAATGAATCATCCGTCATTAACTGTAGAAATATTAAGTATCCTTAGAGATACTTGGTATCCATAAAGATACTCAATATCCTTAAAGATACTCGATATCAATGTAAAATAGGAATGGGAGATTATGGGTAATATCTCCTTGTAATTAGCTGTTGTGAATATCTTAGGAATCCTTTCCTTTTCTTCTCATATTCTTTGTGTATATATAGCCTTCGTACCTCCCTCTTTTGAGACAAGTGAAATAAAAAAGAATTCCACATTAACCAATACTAATAATAATATAAAAATAAATTTTTGTATAAGGTTGATCTAATCTCATGCCATGACAAGGGTACAATAACTCGGAATCATATGTTAATAGGCAGCAATATACATTTACCAGGATTTATTGCTCCATCTATTCTACATAAGATTGAGAGTTAATTAGCTAAGTTGGATTATCTTACCTGTGACAAATCTTCATCCAAAGGAGCTTGTGCAAAAGCAACCTTAGCACTTATATCACGCCCAAAAATAGCATCTGGCTTTCGGAGTCGTTGAAATGCTGCTACTGCATCAGCATGTGCGCTGAACTCCAAGAAAGCAAAGCCCTTAATTTTCCCTTCAATCCTGGGATCTTCTGGTAAACGGATCACCTTAATATGTTCGATTCCATAGTGTTTCAGTTGTTGTAACACCTTGAAGAAGAAAATGGTAACATGGATTAGGTGGCACTTTTAAACCAATGGCATGCCACCAACTTTAAGGATGGTTGATACCGTCAACAAATATACTGAAACGATAAAAAACATATATGAAGACGGAAAATTAATATACAAACTTACTTCCTCTCTGTTCCATGTTTTGCAAATATTTCCCAAATAGAGTGTATCATTGTTCTGGCTTGCGGATATCATTACATGCTTGCCCCTCACCTGGGCATGGGAAAAACAAATTGTGTTGCTGACTAATTAGATGACAGGATATAACTTAAAACAAGCTGACTTGTCAATTTCACCTTCTGTCGGTTTGAAAAACTACATATGCAGCTCATACCTCAACTCCATCTTTCAACTCAGAAAGGGCACGCTTCGCTTGATCGACAGACGCAAACCGGATGAATGCAAACCCTTTGCTCTTATTTGTGGTTGAATTCCTCACTATTCTAGTGGATTCCAGCTCCCCAAACTGTTGGAAGGCATTAACCAGATCTTCTTCAACTGTATCCTTGTTTAGTTTTCCAACATAGATTTCTATGTTCTTTTCTTTCTTATTATCGAGGGGATCCTGAACAGATATGGAAGGATTTTCATCACCTTCATTGTCTGTATCATCTCCCTCACTATCATCATCACTTTCCTCATCATCCCCATTCCCCTTGGAATCGTCTTCAACTATTAGAGCAGTGTTATTCTCACAAGGTGCTTTGGTGCTAACAGCTTGAACAGATTCTTGAGTGGAGAACATTTCTGCAGTACACTTTCCATCCCCATTGCCACCATCATCCATAACTAGAGCAGCATCATTCTTACAAGATGATTTGCTGATGTTAGATTCTTGAGATGAGATGAGTTTTGCAATTTTTTCTCCTTCCTCAACACCATCCCCTTTGACAACTAGAGAAGTGTTATTGTCATTAAGTATTTTGAACTCACCAACTTTGACAGCACCTGTCTCTTCTTGAGCAACTGCAATATCGTAGCAACAATTTATTGTCAGCTGGTATTATCAATCAGCATGCCCACAAATATTGCAAATGCAAAATGCAAAGGAATGTTAAATGACAAGTCAAAGGTGGCATGTTCTAACAAGATTCCATGAGTTCATGCATGTCTTGCAGAGAAACTATCACAAAAATTATGTTTAAATCTCCTATACAGTATACAGTGCAACATATTAAGTTCATTGCAAGTGCATGGTATGGCAGATGATAACAAATCAACAAGCAAGATACAGTATTACAAATACTCCTTAGTTGATGGTTGTGAACTTGTGTATCCCTTAGCACTTGTTGAGAAAAGCTTTAAAGTAGCAAATGAGACCCTGGTCTCAACTTGTGCTGAATCCCAAATTCAACCAAGAGTGAATCCTCATATCATGGTCGGGTTTTTCTCTCTTGACATTATATTTTTCTATCTTTGGGGAGTAACATATTTGAAGTTCCCATGTCTTCACTTATGTGAGATTAATTTGTTGAGATTTGAAACAAATGTCAAAGTTTCAAAAAGGGGTAGAAAGATTTTAACCTAATTTTTAAGAGAATGAAGCAGGGGAGTGGGGAGAGACACTATGAACTGAATGATGACTAACTAATTTACTTGCATCATGCTCTTTGGCATTTCATACGGTGTACTCACTCATTTCATACTTCATGAGCAAATGTCCTCTTGTCAAACCAGAAACAATTTATTTCTCATGCGGAAGATTCAGGTTGAAGAAAAGGATGGTGGCTGGCTTAACCCTAACTTGTAAGCATGAAGAAGATGATATTGCATCAGAGAATTTGAGCCACCACCGTTTGTTTAGCATAGAAAGAACAAAGATCATGCATTTTTAAATGAAATTCGAAACAATAATATTATCAACTGTTACATCTTTCAAATCCCAAACATATTGAGCTTAATATGCAATTATGTTAGGTTGATGCCTAAATTAATCTAACGAATTCTTATCAAGAGTATTACCTCATTACATCTTCAAGAGCCGTTAACTTATAAATCAAAATTTAAATTCAAGGTCAGAAACTTGTTACCTGCAACCGTCTCCTCTCTTGCTTCTTGTTTCTCTTCATCCACGGTCTCCAACTGTGAACCATAGATGCAAACGACTGTATCCTCGACCTTAACCACTCCTGCTTCTTGTTTCTCTTCATTCATATTCTCACTTCCTTGCCGTAAATCCTCTTTCTGATCGTCTATGCAAACGATTCCATTGTCAACATCCTCGCTTTCCAGCCATGAATCTTCGTTAATCTTATCGCTGCCCACGTCAGGTCCACCAACCTCAATATTCGCTTCACTCACATCACCTACTTCACAATTCTCCAAAACCACTTCCTCCTTAATTACCGATTTGGAAGAAACGGCAACACCTTTAGTTGAATCAACGTTAATATCAGCAGGATTAGGATTGGATACTTGTACCTGACCTAATAACTCAGTATCTGTCTCCTCGAGTTTCAATCCATCTCCTGTTTCAACTTGTGATGTCGGTAATTCATGATCAACAAGGGTAACTGTGGTTGCTGATGATGATGACGATTTCTTGCGCCTGGCCGACATCCTCTTAGGAGCCATGCCTGATTGATATTATCCTTTTCGTACGTGCAATAGATTGTTCGATAGGAGTAGGGTTAGGGTTCTTGAATGAAAGAGCGATCGATGGAGAGATGAAAACAGAAAACGAAGAGCCGGAAACCGCCACGAGGAAGCAGATTGGCAATCGGCCCTAACACATTATCCAACTTCAAATTCAAAGAAAATGGAATGTTATTTTTATATTAATCTTATTCATACAGTTGTTCCGAAGAATGTAAAATCTGAATAAGTTTAAGCAATAAAACAATGTCCAATTTTTATATATTCAATTATAGTAAATTTAATACCATAGTTAGGAAAAAAGTTGAAAAGAAATTAATCAATGTTATACGTTTACTCGGACAAGTGTTTATCGATAAAATTTTACACTATCATTTATTTACCAAATAAGATTTTAGTCCACCAAAACAGTATTGTATACAACAATTTACCGTATAAAAATCTTGTTCTTTGTCATATTCATCCGGTAATGTAGTGACTTGTTAAACGCTTACTCTCGATTAATCGTTTGGTATACGAACCCTTATTCTCAAACCCATCCAATAACAATTACCATAAAAATTAACTAAACCAAAGATGGTGCATGATGTAACAGATAGGGGTGCTCACGGCCCAGGTTGATCGGTTTGGGGTAGTTTTAACAACCCAACCCAATGTTGGCGGTTTGAAAATTTTCAACCCAACCCAACCCAAACAAAAGTTCAACCCAACCCAACCCAACCCGTTCGGGTTGATCGGGTTGATTGAGTTATGTTTAAACAATGTAAAATCACATAAAAATAAAGGAACTTTCCTTTGAAATACGACCGACCATTCAAGATAATATGCAAGTTCATCAAATATTTAGATATTACAATAAAAATGTTTAAACCAAATGATAATACATCAATCAACAACAATAGTTTTAGACGTTTCCAACCCCGATGCTTTCGCGTTCTTGACGTTGAGGTTGGTCATGTCATGATTGTCATCTACAATTCAAAGCTAAAGTTAAGGTCGGGTTCATCGGGTTGGTCGGGTTTTTTTGGGCCTGACCCGATTCCAACCCAATAAGGTCGGGTTGGCTAATTTTTTTATCGATCATGCATCGGGTTACTTCGGGTTGAGTTTTTTTTAAAAAAATCGGGTTGGGTTGGTCGGATTGGTCGGGTTCATCGGGTTTTTGAGCACCCCTAGTAACAGAGGTTGTCATAAGTGGTTAAGAAACTATTACATCAAAAACAAATAATTTATGAGACGAAGAGATAGTTGGTCTTGGTTGTGGAGGGCTGGAGGCAAAGCCTGAAAAGGGTTTTGCTACACCCTCAATGGCATAAGTCCCAACAATTCTTGCTTGTATAAAAACATTCAATTTCCCTTCTTTTTAGACCTTTCAGTTCTTATCATTAAATGGAAAATGGTCATATCTAGACAATGTGACTTGCATTAAGCTCAAATCCTTCATTGAAGACTGAAGAATCATAGAGTCTGCCACATTGATTTATTCGTTGTCTTTCATCTCTATAATCCAGTATTCTCTCCCTATCCACAAAGAATTGAACTCTCGGATCAATCCCCAAAAGTAACAATAAAGAAAACGCCAGAACTTAAATCAAGAAATTGGTTCATTTATATATATATATATATAGAGAGAGAGAGAGAGAGAAAGAGAGAGAGAGAGAAAGAGAGAGAGAGAGAAAGAGAGAGAGAGAGAGCGCTTGGTTAATGTTAACCAAGATTATTGTGTTAACTTTGTTAACCAAGCTCAACCAATGAAAATCCATATTTTATCTAGGTTCAAATCCATCTCATAATTTAATGACAAGGTTAAATATGTAATTTTAGTTTGTATGTGACAGGCTAGGATCGTTCGTGTTCACCCAGTGGGCACTAAGTCTCCACAGTGGCGGTGCAAGTACACGCCGACCCATGATCGCTTGCAAGTAATAAAGTGGTAAAAAGTACCGAGATCGTTCCACAGGGAAGGGACTACTGAGATTCAGAGACTTTTCATGAACTTCTTGCACGAGTTTCGAGTTGTAAAATAAAGTTGGGTTTTTGTTTATAAAAAGACCGAAATAGGACCGATAGCGAAATAACGAAATAAACTTCTAATATTAAAGAATAGGCATGAGTACAAATGTTGCTTAAAATAAAATTAACAATAAAATGGTTAGACTTTTATGAGTTGTTTATAAAAACTCCAATCTCTCGAAAGTGAACTTTTATAACCGGGCCTCATAAAATTTCATAAGGTTTTTACTTTTACCACTTCGAGACTTGCCGATCTAGCTAAAAAGTAAAAGAAATGTGATTCTTACCTAAATCTTTTTGTGATAAGAATACCATTGCTTAACCCCTAGCTAAATACATGCAAAATTCGCGTCTTCACGTAATTATCAAAGACTCTCTCGAGTTCTTTGTGCATCACTTAAGCCGTATTTCAGATCCGCCCATCTCTTGGTCTAAGATCTAATAGTTAACACTTCAAAGTGATCGGCTTATCCGCGTCGAGTTTAAGTCCCGTCTTAAGTGACCAAGTTACAAAATGATAAAAGATAAAAACACCCAAATATTATATAAACATCCTAAGTTAAATTCATACCCACACACATACGAGTAATTTAGCTAGACATAATAAAAGTAATGTAAAACATTAAATAATACTGAAATATAAATTGCATTAATATAAAACTAAATTATAAGTACAAGAAAATAAAATACTAAATTAGAAATTAAAGACATTAATTAAAAACATAATAATAAAAATAAAAGAAAGAAAAAGGAGAAGTGAGACACAAAAAGGGTTTTGTGTCTTGCATGGTGTGGTTGGTGTCTTTAAAAGATCCCTCAATGTCTCCTTTTATAGGGGGAGAAAGGAGAAAAGGACAACCAATCATTACCCCAAGGGTAATTAGTACAAAACATAAAAAATACAAATAAAACTAAAATGGATACAGGAAAACAACTCATATACAACTAGAGGAAATGTCTGGATGATTCTTCAAGTTGCACGTTTCCCAATAAACAGAAAATAGAGTTCGTAGACTTCCCACAATGGTGCCACAGTGGGCAGTGCTGTCAGAAAATACAGGTTTTTGGAATAATACTTCTTTCTTTGTGTTTCATCATCTTTTTAAAACTTTTTGGAATAAAAAGAGAAAAACTAGAAAATTGAGTATTTAATAATAACAAAAAGGAAGGAAATAAATACGAAATAACTCTTAAAAATAAGAGTTATCAGTATGTAACTCCAATATCATTAATTGGGAGTTATGAAATCAAAAAATCTCATAATTGTTGTTGATTTACTATTGATCTTGTTTTTCTATAATATTGATTTATCTATCTATAATGTTCTTGAATTTGTGATTGTTAAAGGAGACCCCGTAGTAAAGTTTCTGATATCATTTAAGTTAATATGGATAAACCCATTTTAAAACAACTCGACAACAATGGGAAGGTTAAAATGGTTTACTATGACAATCGGACTTCGAGTTCCGGAAGTGAAGAAATAATCAAAGTGTTTGTATTGGTAATGGATTAATATGTTACTGTATTCGTTTTAACCGAAATTTTGTTGATTATGACGTATTTGTGTTTTTTATAGTTTTATATTGTGTTGGTAACTTTTTCTTTAATTATTACTACTAGCCCAATTCATATGTTCAAATGGAATGAGTTCATCGTCAACTTAATTTGTTATGCAATCCAATTCTAATAACCATTCGGCTCCATCAGCTACTTGTGATGCTTGACCTGTCATAGACTGCAACTAGTGTTCATATACGTTTAGTTATGTTCATATATGTTCTAGTAGGGACATGAATCAAGGCATCTAATGAACTGTGTGTGTTCATAAGTGTTTATATGATTTTTTAATCGAAATTATGTTGATTATGACGTTTTTGTGTTTTTTATAGTTCATATTGTGTTGATAGCTTTTTCTTTAATTAATACTACGAGCCCAATTCATATGTTGTCAACTTAATTTGTTATGCAATCTAATTCTGATAACCATTCTGCTCCATCAGATGCTTGTGATGCTTGACATGCCATAGACTGCAAGTAGTGTTCATATACGTTCAGGTGTGTTCATATATGTTCTAGTATGGACATTAATCAAGACATCTAATATTGAATTTATAATTTTTGTTAATTTATTATTGATCTTGTTTTTTTTATAATATTGATTTTTCTATCTATAATGTTTCTGAATTTGTGATAGGTAGAAGATATCGGTAGTAAAGTTTTCGGTATCGTTCAATCTATTATGGATAAACCTATTGTTCATAATGAATGAACTATTGTTCACAAGCTGTTTATATTGTGTTCATATGTACACTAGCTGTATATCTCACCTTTAGCTCGCTCCTGAATGTGTTCATAATGAAGGAACTATTGTTCACAAGTGTTCATATTGTATTCATATATACACTAGCTGCATATCTCAACATTGGCTCGCTCCTGAATGTGTTCATAATGAAAGAATTATTGTTCACAAGCTGTTCATATTGTGTTCATACCTGTTTTTTTTATTTATTTCTTTTCATGTAGCAGCTATTCTTATTATGTTCATATTGTGTTCATAAATGTTATGCAGTCCAAGTTCATATATATGTCTATTTTTGTTCGTATATGACACAATGGTTTATATATATATATATATATATATATATATATATGTGTGTGTGTGTGTGTGTGTGTTTGTGTATGTGTGTGTTCATATGGTTCTTACATTAATAAAAATAAATTAACAAAAATAATGAGATTTTTTGATTTTGCAACTCCTAATTAATGATATGAGAGTTACATAAAAAAAGAAATTACCTAAATACCCTTTTCCCCTTTGTTCACATATGTTTTTTGACTTGTTCCCCAAACCAAAACTTTAACTTGCTTTGACTCAGTAATAAAAAGATTCTTGCTTAGGAATGCTTAAACACCCACTTTACATTAAGCATTATGTCACCACTTCAATTAGTTAAGTTTACTTAATTGGCCACCTAGGAGTTAAGTATCATTTACCACTTGGATTAGCATTTCATTATGTATGTCGTTTATGTACTTTAACTTGATAGCACAAAATAATGTGAAGAGGAATTGTGGTGCATGATATCTCAAGAATGTTATGGTACTTTAACTTGATAGCACCAGATAATGTTATGTTG